GAATCCAAAAATGCAATAATATACAGGACATTCCATTTAAAAAAAACGCAACTTTGATACCTTTAGAGCTCTTGGGACACCCTGTACATTACAAACATATTTTTAAAATGTGCGCTCGGTAGGCGTCGGACAATTCATAAAATAATACTTTTTAAAAATCAAACGGCTTAGCCGCAAACTTCCGTGCCGTATAGCGTGAATAACCCTGTATAGTCTAGTACATGAAATCAAATTGGGGACCATTTTTTTGAGGAATTTTAGGTCAAATATTACAGCCTGTGGACATTTTGCTGGTTTTTCCTTCATTCATTTCAAACTTCCTGCAACAGTAAAAATTCGAATTACTTCTCTAGTGCCTTAACGTCTCGTGGCAGGACTATAAGCGATCTCCACTTAACTCGGCCAGCTCTGAGAGAGAAATGAGCACGATTCGCTTCAAACCCAGAATGGTAAATCGTCACTTCCAACACGAGCCACTTCACCAGACTGTGACCGCCACTATGGGCCACTTTCCAGTCCCTCACCATTCTCTGGTGCACCTGAAGATTCAACAGTCTGTTGAAGAATCGACGCCCAAATACCGGCTTGGTAGATCTCTTGTCTTGTTTTTAATCATACCATAATAAACTTTTAACAAAACACACGCGACTTTCATCGCTCTTCGTCTGCGTCTCGGATAATTAAAGGCAGTTGAGGATGGCCGTGACCGTGATTAGACAGTGGTTTTTGGCAATTTTTTTCTGTGAAGTGATATGTGACAACAAAGGAATTGCTGACATCCAAATTGCGGCAATTTAGCAGAAATTTGGATTTAAATGGATGAGGGCGCCTGGGCGCAAGAAGTGCCTGTTTTGGTTTAGTTATACCTGTATTACCACAAGCAGCCGAATTTTTCTTGAACGGGAGCAGTGGACTTATATTTGGATCAGGGAGTGAATTAGTCGATCTACCTGGTAATGAGGTACATACATATTTTTAAACTTTATTTATTGCAATATTTTATCCATGGTGTACCTATTGAAGATCAACTGAGATTAGCACTTTTCTGGTTCTGTTAAATGTCCTTCACTCGGCCCTTCTCTTTGAGAACACTTTGAATGGAAATGAAGCTCGAATACTGTAATAAATGTATACGAAGAAGGAAGTGAAAGTGGCAAAATTAAGATCAGTTTCCTAATTTGGCTTTCGTCTATTGTACTGTAACGAAACAAAATGCCAAATGCCGGTTTTAATATTCAAATTTTTACGTAAAAGCAACCGTTATGGACGATTCAAGTGCAAAATTGCATTATCCATATCAATGGGGATGCAAAAATTTTTTTTTGTATTTTATTCTTGCTAAAACATGTTAAGAAAACTCGGTTTGGGAGAGAAACTTCAAAATTCCAAATATCACTTGAATGTGTGTGAAACCCTTCGGTTTTATAGTGTAAAAAATAGCAACGGTGAACTAAAATACTTATCTCATGAAATCCGCCACAAATTTTGGGCATAAAACATTAAATCCAAAGTTTGTTACCTACTTTTAAAGAAGAATCAGAATTATTTAAAAAACTAGAATCTTACTGCGTGTTCTTGTAGAAAGACTAAAAGGAAGAATGTACTAAGACTTCTCACCAAGTCCGACAAGAAAGTTGTCTAGTCATTTCGATTTTTTTACTAACCCCCATTTCTTATATATTTTTTGTTTTAGTTCTTTATTTTTAGCTCATTTTCTAATTTGTTGCTAATTTTCCAATTGCGCCTCTTCAGAGGAAGCAAAGCCCAGAATTAATTTGCTTGATTTGCAGTCATTTGACATTTTTAAATTATTGTTTCGCTTTCAATTTGTTAAAATTGGTTCAATGACAATAGGTTTTTCATTGTTCAAGTTCATCAAATGTTCTTTATACGGTGCGAAAAACGAGGCAATTACAAGGTTTTCCGCATTTCTTTTCAAATATTAAGAAACATTGCGCATTTTTTTCATTTTTGGCGTAAAAATGTTAATCTTGGTGAAAAAAGAACAAGAAAAACAACTGATGCACAATTTTCACATTTTTTTTGATGGAAAAAAGTTACTCAACTGATGCACAATTTTCGCACAAGAAATCGTAACTTTTCACATTAAATGCGGTTTTTAACGCACTATAAGTCGGTTGACGAACTTGATAACACATTATAAAATAAAACCCGAAGCTCATCTTAACTCATAGTGGGCTAAATTATTGCTAATAGACTTGGGAAGAAGAAATTAAAAGCTAAGACATACTTTTTGGATTAACCAAATAATTGCCTGCTTAAGCAAAATTTCACATTTTCAATGTTGGGCTTTAAATTAAAATCACTTTTTCTTCATTCCATTGATAGTCGAACATGCAATATTTACCAACGTAGGTAGAACCAGAAAATTTCTCTTCGAAAAAAACCCAAACATGTAGTTTTCTGGGAAAGTAAATCAGGTTTGTGTCCATCTACGATCGACCGTTATTACTGCTGTTTGCCCTATTTCAAGCATATGGTGTGAATATTTTACTCAGCTTTATTTAATGAGTTTTCAGTTCATTATAATACATAACTGTCTAAAACTGTTAGTTTTTTACATAATATAAATATAACTATAAATTTGGTTGCAATAACACTCGATTGATTTATTGCGTTTTATTTTAGCGTTAAATTTACAATTTGTCTTTTTACTACCGAATATCTTTGTACTAGCTATGTAATCGTTAAAATTGTGATTAAAATACAGTACAGGAGAATTTAGAAAATTCGAGCAAAGTGAGATTAGCAATGTGAAACAGACCGATGGAGGCAAGCAGCTGAAAAATCTCAAGAGCATACATATCCCTAGTTGAATGCTGAATTTATGGTTTAGTTGTTCTTCGCTGCCATCTGATCGTTAGATAAGCTCCATTAATTAACGGTTTAAGTCTTACATGCGACACAAATGACAAACCCATTTCATTAAAGTTATAGCCACCATTAAACTGAACTTAATTTTTTTTTTTAAATTGGTAGCTTGACGAGCTTTTTTAACGTTATGTATGTTTTTTTGTTAGTATATGGGAGGGAGGAACATTTTAATAAGTAAGTAAGTATTTTTATTTTGGATAAAATAATAGAATGTAATTGTGTTAATTTACATAAACGAAAATAAAACTGTGGTTGAAGAAGACAGATTTAATAACGTTTGATCGGTAAAAGTAAATAAATTGTTCAGCTTTTGGCTTAATTGTACCTTGCATTAAAAAGAGACCATTTTCCTAAAGATAATAATTCCAAAATTAACGCTTTAGAAAGTAAGTAATTAAAGCACTTTCTAGAATTTTTAAAACCAGCTTCAAAATAGCCGTAGTTTATCGAAAAAAGCCCTTTTCTAGATACAAACCTTTAAATAACCAAATTTACATCAGATTTTGAGAAATAACTTTGTGTTACATAATTTGAAGCTTTTTCCAAAATGTACTGGTAAAACACTTGTATCGGGCTTGTTCTGGGCTTTCTTTCCATTCTTATTGACTTAGTTTCACTCCTCTAATCAAACAAGAATTGACCGTTTTTTTGGCAAGGTGTTATTAATCGGAGGATTGTTTAAGTCCATGTCTGTTCCACTTTCTCTTGATTGCCGGATCTTGTTACCAACATTTTGCATCGATTTTGTGCGCTCATTCGCCAGAGAACCTGCCAAGCCAGGAATAAAATTACATTGTTCAGTGCTATTTTGCTATTAAAAAATTATATTTAAATTTTTTTCCAAAACTATAGTTTTTTCTCCAAATTTCTTTCTCATCTAATGAGCCCAGTAGTCAAAGTCTGTCTAAGATATATGTGAAAGAAGCGAATTAACACAATAAACTGTGCAGAATCCGATCCAAACATGATAGAAAATTAGTTTACATTATTTCAGAGAAAGCACCTTCTTACGGCTTGCATTGTCGGCTGTGTAATTATGATTTGATTTTATAAAAGATAGATTAAACCAGAATCAGTGAAAGACTGTTAACCTACATTTAATAAGAAGAAATTACTATCAAGTTCCAATAACTAATTAACAGGCAGACAAGCCAAGTAAGGAATTAGGTCAAAACATTTCAAACAAAACTAGAATCACAACCAAGTTACATAAGCGTTAGAAATATACAGGGTTACTCACGCTATACGGCACGGAAGTTTGCGGCTAAACCGTTTGATTTTTAAAAAGTATTATTTTATGAATTGTCCGACGCCTACCGAGCGCACATTTAAAAAATATTTTTGTAATGTACAGGGTGTCCCAAAAGCTCTAAAGGTATCAAAGTTGCGTTTTTTTTAAATGGAATGTCCTGTATATTATCGCATTTTTGGATTCGCTGAACACAATAAGTGTCTGCTTTAATAAGGTTTATAATACCTAAATCTTAAGGTTTTTTAAATAATACGAATTTAATCAAAATCTTATCTAATTTTCACGTGTCAAATACTTTAGAAGTATTTAAGTTATGTAAGCGTAATTTATAGTGAAGTATAACAAGATATAATATTTTATATCCCAATGATAATAAACTTACCATGTTATACAGGGTGTCCACAAATTTAAACTAATCAAATAAGAACTTTAAGTGGCTCTAACTTGATTAATTTAAACACAACCCCATATTTTTTAACTTACCAGGAAATGCAATTTTTAATTACCTATCGAATGATATTAGGATGTTAATAGCTAAGTTTTTGCCTTTTTACAAAATACGTTAAAAAGTCGTTCTGTGAACCATTTGGTGTTGTTTAATTTAAGGTTCCAATGTATCTAAGTTGCCTATGCCATTTACACATGTCAAATCATTTATTTTATTTCTCAGTTTAGACTGCCAAGTCTCTTTTTGATAGCTAGAGTGGTATTGTTTTTTTGTAATTGTAGACGTGTTGGTCGTTACTTTAATATTATTATTGTGTTGCTAAGTGAAAATGAAGAATTATCCAAGAGAAGAGCGTATTGACATGATTTTCATCCTTGGAGAATGTCATAAAAATAATAGTTTATTGGCTTCTCGAGTTTATGCTCAAAAGTTTCCTGAAAGAAATCATCCTAAGCCAACAGTTTTTCAGCGCTTATTGCACCAATTTGAGGAAAGTGGGAGTGTCAATTATAAAAAAACTCTTTACAAGGAAATCTGTAACTGAAGATGAAGAAAATGTTTTCACGGTAATTGGTTCAGTTATCGAAAATCCCAATGTTAGTGGCCCCCCAGATCTCCGGACTTAACTCCACTAGATTTCTTTTTGTGGGGTACATAAAAGGAATTGTCTACCATATGCTTCCGACAACTTCACACGATTTGAAAACACGCATAAGAGACGCTTTTAAAACTGTTACTCCGCAAATGTTGTCCAGAGTTAGCAGTTGTTTTGAAAAAAGAATTTACAAGTGCCTGGAAATGGACGGTCAACATTTCGAACATTTGTTATAAATAATTTTCCTTTGTTTTATGTTATTGTTGATATGTTATTTAGCCTTTTAATTAAAAAAAAACACCAACTGGTGCACAGAACCATTATTTGGTGTATTTTGTAAAAAGGCAAAAACTTAGTTATCAACATCCTAGCACCATTCGATAGGTAATTAAAAATTGCCTTTCCTGGTAAGCAAAAAAATTTGGAGTTGTATTTAAATTAACCAAGTTACAGCCACTTAAAGTTCTTATTTGATTCGTTTAAATTTGTGGACACCCTGTATAAAATGGTAAGTTTATTATCATTGGTAAAATATGATTTCTTGTTACATGACCCTACGAATTACGTTTACATAACTTAAATAATTCTAAAGTATTTGACACATGAAAAACATATTAGATTTTGATAAAATTCGAATTATTTAAAAAACCGTTAGATTTAGACATTATAAATCTTATTAAAACAAACACTTATTTTGCTCAGAGAATCCAAAAATGCAATAATATATAGCGTATTTCATTTAGAAAAACACAACTTTGATGCTTTTAGGGCTTTTGGGACACTCTGTACATTACAAAAATATTTTTAAAATGTGAACCCGATAGGCGTCTGTGGATTCATCAAATAATACTTTGTAAAAAACAAACGGGCTAGCCGCAAACGTTCGTGCCGTATAGCGTGAATAACCCTGTATATTCTTTTCGTTTGAAGTTTTTGAGTTTGTTTTCTGATTATCTTCTTCAATTATTCTTCAAATTGTAGTTGAGATGTTAGAGGAATCGTACTTTCTAAATGAAGAGAGTCTCAACAGCAGACTGCAGAAAATAAAAAATCAGGTTTCTCATTGGTTCTCGACTAGGCGCTGATGGAACTTTGGCCGCTCAAACCTTCCATTTGGTACCAGTGAATCAAATGCCTACAATGCCTACATAATATAAACACAGCAGTAAAACCCATAGAACCACCTTGTGAAGTATTTGCAAATTGATGAAAATTACCAAGTGCCAATATTTGCTTTTGCCATCAGTTCCAACTGAAAACAGCTTCGAGTGCGTATCTGCAAGCAAAACGTCTTTGCGTTCCAGGTGTCGTCAGCTGATATGGGTACCGCTATGCCGAGAGCTTTAACCTGCAGCAGGGGCCTTCCAGCAGTGCTGAATCCATCAGTTCTTCAGTGCCGGAATACAGTGAGGTGCGCGACTAGTGATCGAAAATCTTCAGGACCAAATTGCGTACGAATAAGTAAGTTACCAGTTTTCCAAACATACTTTAAGGGGGTTTTCAGGGGTTCTTTATCTGAAGGTTTGCCAAGTTCTCAATGTTTCTTTTAAATATTTTCCTTTATTTTTGCCATATTTGGATAGGCAAAAAACTTTTCAATTTTTTTGGAAAATCTCCTTTGAAGACTATTTGTATTTAAATTTCGAAGACAAGGGGAGTTATTAATGAAAATTCTGAATTTTGAATAATGCAGTGATACATTCATTGAGTCGCCAATGTAAATAACCGCGGCGTCTCTGTATAAGTTTGCGATTGTATGATAATTTTAAAACAAACTATATAAATTGGGAAACACTGCTCACTAACATTAAGAAGTATTAATAGCTTTGTGCCTGGTTATCGAACTTTGTCAATAGAAAAATTGTAAACAATTGTCTTCAAAGCAGGAAGATCTATTTCTTCGCAAACATGAATGAACATTAAAGTCCGAATAACGAAGAATTCTGCATCAGCAACTCGTTTAAAAATAGGAATCCCGTGCATTCCTTTGTTGCAATTTTCACTTTAAAATAATCTTTTGTGCACTTCTTTTGATGCGATTATCAAGGTTTTCTTATGCATTCTACATGGACAACAGTTTGTTTTGCTTTTTTGGCCATTCACCTGAGAAAGCAATCAGGCTAAGCCACTTATTCCAATTTTCTTCGCCCAAGTCGACTGAGTCATGGTCGGAATATGTGTGTCACGAAAAATACTGATGCCATGGTCATGGTTATGAGCCATCTTTGAACATTCTAATCCCAGCATTTGACTTTTTGACGATAATAGTTTATTAAAATTTTTGCACTAAACCGCATACTTTTGGACAATAGCGGTTGGCCTTTGCATACTAATGCCGCCAAAGATAAAGAAAAATAAATATTTACCACTGTTGAAAATTACGTGATCAAACTAAAGGAAATGAGCGCGTTTCATGGTATACCCTTTTTTCACAAGGAAATGGTAACTGTCCTTGCATAGTTTCAATTTTATTGCTCCGGTCATTATTTTTTTAACTGGAAACCTGCTTTAAATTAGTTTTTCGGGAAAATTTCGACAACTCTTGCCTCAAAAAACACTCAATACAATGCGCATTAAATTCGCTTTCACACACTCACTTATGACTATTGAATAATCTCAGGATACTCTAATCAGTCTTGCAAAGTGAGAAAATTCAGTTTCTTTCATGAGATTTGTTTGTTGTCTGCTGTTAAGAAAAGCATGCTAATTTGATAAAATTCAGCTTTGACCATTTTTTTTAACTTCCAAATAGTCTTATGTAAAACCGCTTTTAAGTGTTTTATATTTAAATTAAATAATTTTCCTTTTTATAATTTTTATAATTTTATAATTTTCTGTGTTTTATCTGCTTTATTCTTCTTCAATAAAACAAGTATGTTTTTGCCAAATTTAATTGAAATTAATAAGTAATGGAGAATTTTGCATTTGTAATAATTTGAAAAGAAAATTGCTGCCCAGAGCAACTCATGTTTGAAGATGCAGGCCACTCGTGCTTGCGGAACGTCAGGCAGAAAATCTTGTCCACTACATAATAAATCACAGGAAAACTGCAGTTTCAAAAACCGGTTTGGAAAAAAATTCGAAACTGATTTGCTATTTCATTTTTGAAATTTCAACAATACATTGGTCATTTTATTTTATTTCTTTAAAGACGTGTTATTCTCTATAATATTTTAATATAATTTATCCTCTTTAGCGTTAGAAAATAACTGGATAAGTAATTTCCAAAAATGTTTTTTTAACCCGAGTTTTCGAACGTAAGTAACGAGAGGAAAAGGAATATGAAAATTAACTTACTAAATGCTTATCATCAAATACGCAAATAATGTAAAATTTAACTTTTGAATAATTTCTTTTGATCTAAATCATTTTAGTTATCAATCAATTTTATCAAGAAAGATTCTTTAATCCTAAATTTTTAACTGAAGTAATTGGCCGTATTTTAACTGTGCACACCAAACAAATATATGTAGTTGCTGTAAACTTACCGCTTGTTCTGATAAAACGTTATAATAGAAAAACATGAGAAATAAGGTCATAAGGAACACATAATGGCAATATGAATAACCTGGGAACTTTTCTTATTTGGATTTATTGTAACAGAAAAGTTCCAGAATCATATGTTTTGCTTATTAACTTTTTTATTTTGCTCTTTATAATCTGTTCTCACTATTATCATGTACCTATAATGCTCTATGTAGGTCTCACATGTCTAATTATGAGATAATTCTTAAATAACCTGTGCCAAGTGCTATTCATGGCAATTAGCTTTTGTGGGTTACTGTTTCCTTCAGTTACTCAAGGCCTTAAAAGCAATTTGCAATTAGTGTGTAAATGTCCCAAAAAAATGGGTTCCGAATCCAAAAACAATAATTGTCCAGACTTTTTACGGCTTTCTTCATATAATTATCCTTCAACGGGTGGCTTCTTTAACAATTCTATTCCTTTATTGATTAGCCATCCACAATGAACTTCAACCAGCCCACATGTAACAGTCTTTAGCATTTTTTTAGTGCCAGCTTTTTCTAAAGGCAACATTTCCAATGTTCAACGGTACTTGATAGTATCGCGTCAAGAAGTGTTCTTGTATAGCTGTAAATTTGTATAATTACACCTCGTAAGGGATTGGTATTGACCCATTACTAGGCCAAAGGTTAAGCAAGTCAATAACTTCAAAGCTGCACCTTCGATCTTAGATCCAGCTCGATCTTAGAAGTTTATTTTTTTCGAATCCGCAATGGTAAGCAGGAATATTGAGTATTGGAAAAACACATTTATCATTCATCGTAGCATTTTTAATAATTCCAATAACGGTACCCAAGTCCCAGAACATACCGTATGGTTCGATTTCTGCCAACCATAAATATTTAATTGCTCGATTGATGACCTGCCTCCATATATTTATTACAATTCGTTTGGTTGCAGTACATATTATGACTAATATTTAAGCGATGGTTAAGTGGGTAGAAATCAATTGAAATGAAACAGAACGTAGCTCAAATTCTACTATGCGACTTTTTTATATTTCTTTGCGGAAAGAAGCTATTTGCCGCACCAGTTTCTAAACAGGAAGCAGATGTTTACTTCAACTAGTTCTGATGTTGTTTTGAGAAGAAGAATTAAGAAATTCTATTGGAATTATTTTTTTCTTTGATAAAAATTATAATTTTTGCCATTAATTACTCTAAACAATTTCGCATTGCGCTGTTTGCATTCAGCATAGAACACACTTTTTCAATCCCTTTATTGAAAAAATGTTTTTCTGTACCTGTTTTTGCGCTAGATTTTTGAATCGTGTGGAATAATATATTTTTGCTCAATATTTAAGTATATAACTATTTGAAATTATTTACAGCTTTTTCCGCTTGGGTATAATAATACTAAGAAGCAAGAAAACCAATTTCGGACTTAATTTTTTTTATCAAAGAACTCAATTTAGCCCCACAATTTGTTTGTGGTCCCGCCTATTGATTCATTGATTTTTCATTGAACGTTCGAATTTTTTTAAATTTAAATTTCATTCTCTAAAATCGCAAAAGTGTTTTCTTCTCTTTTCGCAATATCAACAAATATATAGTGAAAATAAATAAATGAAATTTTAAAAGACTTTCAACTATCAAACATAAAACTCTTCTTTTGCAGACACACATTTGACCGTAACAATAATTTACATTTAGTAACGTGACAAATGAGGAACGTTTAATTTAAAAGTGTAAAAGTTGACCAAGAAACTCAATTAAATTTAACAATAAAAACGAAACTCTTAGAAGTTGGCAGATTCTTCTAAAATCTCCCAAAGAAAACACTGCGCTTCGCAAAAACCTGAAATAAATCAGCGAATAACTTTATAAGCAGAGAATGTTCAAAAACGGTTATGTCCTGATTCTCACCAATCTCAAATCATTCTCTTCCTTTCAGCCTCAGATACAGTTACTTCAAATCGCTTCCTAATCACTTGTAATTATTAAATGTATGCAGTCAATCAGCCTGGTTGGACTTATTATTATAGCATTCCTTGCCCCCATGAATTAAAAAAGTCTGATCCTCCTTATCTTTGTTTCAGGTGATAATGTGCTGCCTAAGGACTTTAGGTGTGTTAACAGTGACTTTATCATTAGTGTGGTCAATGACCTTAGAGACAACCTCCACAAGGTACCTAGTAGAAGATTTACATAGAAATTCTAGCCTAATCAATTCTTCAGCTAAGTTAGATATAGATTTAGCGTTAAATAATAGGAAATCTAGTAAATATGTCAATGACTCTTTTAGAGGAGGTATTGGAGCTGCTTTGAATACCTCAACAGGTTTAAATGATAGAGTGGTTGATTTAAATATAGGCGATTCTAGTCGAGCAGATCAGTCCAAAGAAGCATTTGTAGGCGAAGGCAGGAAAATACGAATTTCCCAGCAGAACAAAGGGCATCAGGTTTCAAAAACCCAAAAAAAACAAAACGGTAAAACTAAACCAGCCACCACAACGACCACAGCGCGACCAATCACAAAGAAACCCTTGAAAAAGAAGCCCCCAGCACCAAAATTGAAACTATCCACTTCCGCTCCGATCACAATCAAGCTGACCAAACAAACCACCAAAACACCTGGTGCTTCGACACCAAAATATCTGAAACTATCTTCAACAACAGCTGCTTCCAAGAAAAAACCCAAACCAACCATAAAAAAAATCCTTACTAAATGGCAGGATGGCGTCACGAATGGGCCTGATTTGAAGCAGAATTGGTATGAGGCGGGCGTTCCTTATCCAAACCCCCGACCTGAAATCACATCCAGCTCTCCTCCGTTTTCCATCAGCGACTCCGGTCCGCAAGTTTTAAGCTCTTCTACAGCAGAAACGATTTTCCTAGATGAACAGCCAGCTGTGGGAAATATCAAGCCTCAAATATTTTCCAACTCGCCCACAGAACCTCTGCAGGGCGTTCCCGCAATTTCACCAGGCCCTAGTGAAGAAGACTTAGAGTCAATATCAGTCTCATCGAGCGAGGCTCCCACTGCAGCAGACAGTCCTATCAGTACGTTTAATTTGGACATGTTGCCCTCTACAGACCTCACAAGAGACCCTTCGGGAAGCGGCTGTCCAACCGTTCATATATCCAGCGCTGTCTTATCGCCTCTGCAAAGACAAGGCTGTTCTGACTTGAATCTTGTGCTAAACACTCACTACCATCAAAATCAGGATACGCGAAATCCTGCCGTTAGTACTTATGATGCTTCAGCTCCCGCTGAAGATGATGTGGTGGAAGCAGCTGATGATATTGTGGAAGACCCCATAGTGGATGATGGGTTGGCAAATGCAGGCCCCACTGGTGGCGTCGCTTCTGATTCAGGAGTTAGCACCTATACAGGTGGAGGGAGCAATGGAGTAAGCAGTGGAGGCTCTGGAGGTTCAGGTGGCAGTGGAGGCGACGGAGGTGGAAACGGAGGATTCAAACTACCCAACTTAAAACCCATCTTTCGAGCCTTGGGATTTCTAATGCGAGGCTTAGGGTGGCTGATGCAGCGCCTCATGAACCCTTGGTTGTATATCGTCCCAATTGTTCTTTTCTTCAAAATCGGCTTCCTAGGCATACTCACCCTGTTTCCCTGGTGGATACCCTTCGCCTTCCTTTATTTCAGCGTTAGAACCGAAGAGCCGAAGAACACAGTTTCTCATGTAAATCACCACCATAGGCCGATTGTGGTGAAGCATCGCGACGGATGGTTTTGGGATGAACATTCCAAGACGTGGAAAGACGTGGCTCATCCGCAGTATCGAAGAAGCGATGCAGCTGCAAGCGAAGAAGACATGTTGGATGATAAAATCATTAGGCTGGGGGATAAATTCCTGAATGACATGAAAAGGAACAGAACAAGGTTTAAGGCGAGGTGATTGATGAACCATGAGAAAGTTGATGATCAGTGAATGGTAATGGATTGAGATTTGGTGTCCTCAAAGGGAAAATTTTCCGTAATCCACTTGTTGAAAATGATAAAATAAAATATGTAAACGAGATCTTGTCGTGCTGATGTTTCTCGGAAAATTTAAAATATTATTCTTCAAAATTGCCTTCTGGTGGTGCTGAAGCAGCAAAATTATGGCAATATGTACAAGGTGTGTCAAATGAGTCAGCGGTTTTCTCTATTTTTAAGGCATAAAATTGGGTAACTTCCGAAACTTTTTCACAACACCAACAGGATTTTGTATGTTACTAGACGTTACCCAGTTACTTTCAAAAATGAATTTTTTTTCATTATACAAAACAAAACTGCAGGACAAAAGGGTTGATTTACTTTATGTGTGCTCTCTTTAAAAGATCATAATTTATTTGTATATATTATCTAAAATAGTGTGTATTGTATCGATTTTATTCATATTTAGAGTGTAAGCTTGCAATATATTATGTACAAATGCGAAACAAGAGTTTTATTTTTGTCTTCAGTTATTAAAGGATAATAATTGCATGAATAAGAAGCGAAACCGCGTAAGTCACAAAAGGTTTATTTAGATATTTTTTTTTAAAGGAAAGCTGCTATTTTAGGTTTTTATTGGAAACCTTCTTATGTCTCTCCATTTTATAGTTTTAAGAATTGCATTATAATTAAGGATCCAAAAAAGGACACTCAAAGTCAAACCTTTTTAGTCCCAGTGTGGAGTCAAACTCCAGCAGACTTTCTTTTAGGTTCTTTTTGATGGCTGAAGTTAAAAAAACTTGTTTGTAGGTCATTAGCTGGAAACTGTACAACTTGGAAAAACAGTCGTTGTCTCTCATTCCCTGTGAATTCCCCACATTGGTATCTGCAGGTGTAATAATAAATAACTCCTGAACGATTTTCTTTCTTTTAGTTTCCCCTCTGCTTTCATATTCGTGACCAGAAACTCTGTTCTTCTTTATAGAATTTCATTTCCATTTCTTAATATTGATTGTTTCTTTTCGGGGTTGTTTAGGGGCTACCAAAATAGAAAATTTACCTTACGGCACCTCACATAGTAACAAAGCAATCCAAGTACCACTCAGACGATTTTGGCTCCAAACGTCTGGCGAGATTCTTTTATATTGAATTTTTTGTTCACCAAAAGAGGAAAACACGAGTTAATAGTGCATTTAGGCGGTTTTGCTTCTAATCCCTTCAACCGCGTAAACTTTGCATATTATTATGATATTCTTATCTTTCCTGGGTCTCAGTCAAAGTGTGAAGTAAAAATTTTGAAACATCGTTTAATTCATTACGTTTCGGCGAGAAAACAGCGCTATCATCAGATTTAAAATTTACACAACCTACAAACAGCATTTCACAATTAAAACATGTTGTATAAAAACTATAATTTACAAAGCGCTAAAACATTCATCAGTTTTGAGGGAAAAAAATCCTTCCTTTTGGGAGAGCAAAACACTGGAAAAACTTACCTCATGATTGGTAAAAATCAACGTTCTTTTAGGTCTTTGCCTTCTTGAAACTTTAACTTTGTCTGAATGCATGTATTGAGATAAGCAGAAATAGTTTTAATTTTTTACCAGTGTACAATTATCAAATGCATGTTGACAAATGTGTGATTTATGATATTCTCTGTTGTTTATGTATGATTGGTGTTCTTTGAGTCTTTTGTGTAATGGTCTTGAGGTTTCTCCTATATAAAATTTATTGCATTCGCAAGGAATTTTATAAATTACATTTTTTGTATTTTCAATTATATTATGAGGTTTTGTTACTGAAATTTTACTTCTCATTGTATTTTCAGTTTTGAAGATAGTCCTAATATTAAATTTTTTACCTACTCGTTTAATTTGATCTGAAAG